AAGGAGAGACAGGTCTTTGGAGAGGGACATCATGCTGGATAGAGTAGAAGGACAGCGCAGGAGGGGAAGACCCTCTATAAGGTGGATTGATTCAGTGACTGGGGTAATCGGGATGGGTGTGTCAGAGGCAATACGATTCGCACAGGATAGAGCAGGGTTTAAGGCTGTTGTACATAGGGTCGCTATGAGTTGCAAACGACTCGACGGCACATAACAACAACAAAAACATCTTGATTGCATGTTAGATTGATCTCTGACTGCAAAATTGGTAAAATTCTTCTATTTCCTCCTCTTTGACTTTAATTGTCGGTGTATATATTTGAATGATAGTGGTATTCACTGAACTTCTTTGTATGCGTTCCCATATAATGCTGACACAGCATTGTATTTCAAGACGGTTCTAGAAATTAGGTTTTTGTTATGAAAGCGACCCAAATTTTTCTCACTTTTTTATTTCCAGCATTGTAGATCATATCTTAGAGAAGGTGAAACCAGGAAGCTCCTTGGAGGCAAGGGTCCTGAAACGTCATCTGACATATTTTTGACATGTTGCTAGGAGGGACCAGTCCTTGAAGAGAGCTTGGGAGGGTGGAGGGACTGCGCAAGAGAAAAAGACCCTCAACGAGATCGATTGATTCAGTGACTGGGGTAATGGAGGTAGGTATGTCAGAGACAATAGGATTAGCACAGGAGAAAGCAGGGTATAGGGCTGTTGTCCATAGTGTCAATATGTGTCTCAAGCAACTCAACGGCACATAACACCAACAACATCATTAATACATATATCATGTAAGCGTGGTTGCTGTGATTCTGACCACTGTGACACTGATGTGCCAAACATGGTAATGGTCACCCATGGTGGACAGTGTTTGCTGGAGCTGCCCAACTAAAACAAGCCTGGAAGCAAGAGCGGCATCCACTTCCGAAATGGCTTGCCTCGCGAAACCCTATGAACAATGCTCAGGCCTTTCGTTCACAGGGTCGCTATGAGCCATCTACGACTCAACGGCACCAAACAACAAGTAAAATCTTGCTGACGATTATTTTTAAAATTCCTGGAATAGTATACTGACAGGGCACTACTAAAAATTCAAGCTGTATTTCTTGAATTAAAAACTGTTTTCATTGCAATTCAAATGTTTTTATAAGCTAGGAGACACATCCAAGATTGCACCTTTTTGTTGAAATAAATTAATTCTGATTGAGATTATAATAACTCCTGCCCTGCCCTCTCAAGTACTTTGCCATTCTTAGCCTCAGTCTGCCTATACCATAGATGCTTATTAAACTGCATGTTATACCCACAGCCTCCTATGTTGTCTGTTGGCATGTTCTCTGAGTTCGAACTAATTGAGACACAAAAACCAGACCTTTCAGTTACCACATAGAACAGAGTAGAACTGTATAAGGTTTTCAACATTGTAAATCTGTACAGAAGTAGATTGCTAACATCATCCTCTTTCACAGAACAGATA